CAGCAGGCCCCCCCCACTACAGGGGGGGGGGGGGCAGGAACAAGACCAGTCACCCTGCACAAGGAGAGAGCAGCAGTGACCATTCTTTATTACAGGGGGGGGCGGAGACAAGACCAGTCACCCTACACATGGAGAGCAGTAGTCACTGGTCTTTATTACAGGAGGGGGGCGGAGACAAGACCAGTCACCCTGCACAAGGAAAGAGAGCAGCAGTGAGCGGTCTTTATTACAGGAGAGGGTGGAGACAAGACCAGTCACCCTACACATGGAGAGCAGTTGTCACTGGTCTTTATTACAGGAGGGGGGCGGAGACAAGACCAGTCACCCTGCACATGGAGAGCAGTAGTCACTGGTCTTTATTACAGGAGGGGGGCGGAGACAAGACCAGTCACCCTGCACAAGGAAAGAGAGCAGCAGTGAGCGGTCTTTATTACTGGAGGGGGTGGAGACAAGACCAGTCACCCTACACATGGAGAGCAGTAGTCACTGGTCTTTATTACAGGACGGGGGCGGAGACAAGACCAGTCACCATGCACAAGGAAAGAGAGCAGCAGTGAGCGGTCTTTATTACAGGAAGCTCCAAGTCTCACACTGAAATACTGCACAGGTCTGGCAGAAATACACAAAGCTCACCAAGATTCCGGGAAGAATACACATGACTCCTATACGAGGACAATATCTGCTCATCTCGGTGTTAAGCTTCAAGAAACAAGGATGGAGGAGGCAGGTTGGGGGTTTTCTTGCCTCTCTGTGCCCAAATCTGGGTCTGACCGCTGCCCCTTGAGGACTGGAGGTGTGCAGCCCTGTTCTAGGCCAACCTATCTTCAGGTTGACCTCCTAGATGTCCCTCTACCCATCAGCTGCCCAACCTGGTTTATTTTAAGGCCGCTGCCACTTAAAGTATTCCTACGACAGCTCCGGTGCTTTTCCTGCAGCCACAGAGATGCGGCAGATGGGGATTATCAGCATTTACATAAATATTATTATTAGAAACCCCGACCTTACTAAAAAAAGACCATGCGTCCCTCAGAGAGAGCTCTGCTCCCAGCTGGGCCGTTCCATGTCACCTCAGCCGAGGAGTAGTCACCCATACGGCGCGTGCATCTGCATGTTCTTTGGTCTGTCACGAAAGGTCCCATTTCCTCACCGTCAGTAACCAAACCGCTGGCCTGCGCCCGGAGCTCAGGCGACGGATGGGGTCGGCAGGCTCGGCACTGAGGTCATAGCTCGTCTCGGGCGGCGCTGTCGAACGGGGAGCGGAGAGACGGGGTGTTTACGGCTTCGCTGCGCAGCTTCTCCTGTTGTTGGGTCTTCTGGGACTTGGCTCTGTCCCAGTCGGTGGGCTGAGTCACGTTGTCCCACAGCACCGAGGTTTCCGTGTCGCTGATGTAGCCCTCGTCTCCGGTGTAGTGGGTGGGGTATAGCAGCAGCGGCTCCACGGAGAAGGCGTGCAGGTCCCGGGGTGAGAAGTGGGAGGAGTAATCCGTGCTGTAAGTAGACAGAGAAATTGGATTAAAGGCCAAGTGAAGTCTCCGTCTATCAGAGCCGTAGCTAGCTCCTTTTGCACCCGAGCCAAGAACAGAAAATTGTGCCACCCCCCCCATCCCCCAACAGACGTGGGCGGTATGTGACGTCATGCGCCCCGTCTCCTGGATGGCAGAGCGCATGCGCAGAATGCGCTGGTGGCCAAATCCGAAATAGCATAAAAATTTGTTTCATTTGACGAAAAATAAAGAAAACATTTTTAGTTTCTGTTCATTTCGCCCCCGAAACAATTTTCTTTGTGTGTGTGTGTGTGTGTGGTTTGTTTTGGTTAATTTAAGTACTAATGCACTCCTACTTGATTATGACATCCAAAATCATCCGCAAATTCAAAATCGGCAGCAGCAACAGTGGCGGATATACAATTAACAGCTGATTAGCTTTTATGCAAATACTGCTGCAGAAAATAAATAATTTTTTTTCAGTTGTGTCTGAAGTGTGGTCTGTATTCTGTTGTAAATTATGCTATGGCAAATGTATTCAGCCATCTTACCCCCAATCTGTATAACTGGTGGCAGCATCTGACATGGCACAAACCGTTACTGCTCATAAGACAAGAACATTATATAGTGAACCAGAATAAATGCCCTGCTTTTTTCTCTAAACTAAATTAAAGTTACCATGACCCCAGATTTGTTGAACTATAAGAGCAATTATACAAAAATATACAATTGAAATAAATACTTTATATTAGGGTCCACTGTTGGGGGGCTTCGGGGATCTAAACAGACCCCCAACATTTCCTTTTTGAAATAGAAAAAGAGATTGAGGATACAGAGTCCTCTGCCCATACAGGTGGGGGAGAGCAGCGGGGATCCGAGGAGAAGCTGGAGCCTGTGTCGCTCCTCTTTTCCCTGCCGAGCCGTGGCTGTGTTGGCCGCCTGGCGCCCCTGTTGCCAATGGCGCCCTGTGCTCGTCCATGGCAACAGGTGTAAGGGGCGCAGCCAGGCCTCTCAGCTGCGCCTGAGGCGAGTGCATTACTCGCCCCGTGGTAGCTACAGCCCTGCCGTCTATCACCTTATAGTTGTGTACCTCACGTGCTATGATTTGTCACGGATTTTTGCCTGGAAATGCTGCTTCCTGCCCTCGCACCGCAGTATTCTGTGTTGGCAGAGCTGAGTAACAGCCACACCTAGCAGAGCTGAGTCATTGGCACACCCCTACACATACGTGTCCCCATACAGGCTTACATTTCAGAGCAGGTGTGTTACTAAATGCTGAGGACTGAGGGCACCAAGTCTAACTCAGGTGACTACTGGGCCATTGAGTAATATTAAGACCTGGAGGCTGTTCATACCAGGTCCATGTGACTAAACGGTTTCTGGGACTTCAATTTGGTTTTAAAAGTGGGAAAGAGGTCAATTCTGTGGCGTACTCTTGCAAACTCCTCATGGCAGCCAGCATTTTTAGGAGAGGTCCTCAGTGCCAACCTCTTATGTTTCTCAATCAACATACACTAGTTAATGATCACAGAGAGGTCACCATAGCAGCTGCAGGTCTAAGGACCATTCAGGACCCCTTTAGCAAGTTCTTAGCTATGTGACCATTATTGAAGGGTTCTGTGTAGCTTCCAAACATGGTGCTAGTAGGGCGGTGAATGTGCCCTGGCTAGTAGGGCGGTGAATGTGCCCTGGCTAGTAGGGCGGTGAATGTGCCCTGGGCGGTGAAAAGCAAAATAACATTTGCTATAATGTGTATAGAATTGTTGCAAAAGGAAAGAAATTACTGCAAAAGTAACAAACAGCTGAACTCACATGGGATGCTTGTCATACATGACCGGCAGGAATTCATCCACGGGAAGCATCTTGGTCAGGGGATCGGCATTCAGCAGCTTTTTTGCCCCCTGGAGAGAGATCAGGTACCCCAGTGTCCAGTAGGAGTAATCGGCCACTACCAAGTTGCGGACTCCGGGCACGGACTCTTCGGGCTCCTCTACCTGCATCCGTTTCCGGCCCAGATATCTGCAAGAGAAACAATGGGGCTCAGATCAGTGCGCTCTACCCTACATTGGTGATCAGTGGGAAAGGTGCCCTGTTACACTGGTGGTCAGTACACAGGCTCCCTCTTACATTTATAGCGAGAGGAGAAGAACCCTTTTAAATTGGTTGTGTTTGGGAGAAGTCCCCTTTACAGAGTAGCAACAGTTGCTTACTGCTCAGGGAACCCCTAGCAAACTCTGGAGGAACCCTGCTAGATAAAAGGTTGCTCTACACCAGGGGTGGGCAACTCAGGCTTACAGCTCATGAAAACCCAAGGAAGAGGGAGAAATATATATAAATAAAGCTGGTAACATACTTGGAATTTCACAGGGGTTGGCTAGAAATTCCAACTACGGGTGGTCCTGCCAGTCCCATTCAGCTCGGCCATCTTTCATTGAAAACAAATTGAAGGAGCAGAGTGGAAAATTGTCGGCTGAACGGTGCCTGCATCCAATCAGGCAGATGGGGATTCATCCAATCACGCTGCTTAGCATGGACGGGGAAATCACGCAGTTTTCGATCATTCAGCACTAAAAGACTAAATGTGTATGTCCAGCAGGAGGCCGGGTATAAAGAGAACAGTTCTCTGCACTTGTTTCAGCTGCACCGGCAATACTGCTGCTGCAAAAGACTTCTCTTCAACTTCTTCGATGGCGTTTGTGTTTCTAGAGATGCCGAACCTTAGGGTTAGGCGGTAATAATGCCCCCGCGTTCCTAGCGACCAATGTCTAGTATAGGAAAGGAAGAAAAAGAAACATACCACAAGGGGGAGCGGGCAGCAATAAAAACCTGGCAGAGGATTTACGGCTTGGAGTCTGAAGAGCCAGAAATCGGGCCGTAGGGAATTACACATTACAACCGGAATTCGTCTCGTCATGAGAGTGGGAAGATTGCTCGTAGGAAGTGTATGTGTTACCAGGAGGAAAACAGTAGAATTCCTCACCAGTGTACACGCTCCAGGGCGGCCATGTTGTTTACTACAGATCACATCACGATTAAATATTTACAAACACGAGAAGGAAACGGCTGTACTTTATGACCGTCCCGATTCCGCTACCGAAATCTTGACATAAATAAACTTTCCCTCCGTCCCTCCCCTCGCCCTTCACCCAAACATCTCTCACATGAGGTCCCAGTCCAGCTTAGCCTTCTCCACGTCCTGCAGCAGGTTCTCCAGCCGCCTCTTGAAGAAGATTTCAAATCTCAGGTCGTCTTCAAACACGGCGGAGATGGCGAGCGACCGTTCCAAGACCTACGGGAGCGGGAGAGATCACGCCGAGCGTGAGGTTGGTAAGTTTTCAGAGGGAAAAGAACGATCCTCATTTCTGGAAGCACCGCGAGGAACCCTCCGCTCACATTCCAGGAGGACTCAAAAGCCGATCCTATACAATTCTATGGTACCAATACAGCGGACGCTCCAAGTCCTAAAGAAATTGTACCATGTGGCCACAATGGATGTGGTTTACTATTAGGGATGCACCTATACCGGTTTTTCGGTATTGAGTACCGCTATTTTTTTTTTTTTGGTACTTGCCAATACAGGAGTACCGGTGCCGCGCGCCCAGATTATCAGGAAGTCGGGCGGCGGATCATGACCCATCACTCGGCTTCCTGATTGCCTGTGTTCTAGTGAAAGATCACCAGTTTCCGAGGAATCCTGGCTTCCTGACCAATCAGGAAGCCGGGCAGCTAGAGTCACGACTTGCCGCTTGGCTCTCCGATTGGCTGGGAATCCGGCTTCACTTGTTGGCAGGCAGCCTGGCTTCCTAACCAATCAGAAAGCGGGTCATGACGTGCCGCACGGCTTCCTGATTGGCTGGGAAACCAGCTTCACTTGTTGGTAGGCAGCCTCGCTTCCTAACCAATCAGGAAGCCAAGCGGCATGTCATGACTCGCCTCCCGGTTCCTGATTGGCTGGGAAACCAGCTTCACTTGTTCCTAGGCAGCCTTCGCTTCATAACCAATCAGGAGGCGGGCCATTATATACCACCCAACTTCCTGATTGGATAGGAAGTCAGGCTGCTTAGGAACAAGTGAAGCCGGCTTCCTAGCCTATCAGGAAGCCAGGAGGCGGGTCATAACCCACCGCCCGGCTTTCTGATTGGAAAAGAAGCCGGTGCTCGCTCGGCACTGCCGGTCAGAGGGAGATCTCCCTCTAACCCGAAGTTCCGGTATTGGAGTATAAATATAGCAAGTATCAGAGTATTTGGGCGAGTACGAGTACTCGCCCACATATTCGGTATCGGAACGCATACTATTATCGGTACATCCCGATTTACTATAATACATTTTAACATCTTCCAGCGTCAGCTTAGTTTGCAGCTCTTGACATTTGGTCATGTGATGTCTCAATGCTGCAAAAAAAGGACTGTGCTTTAAGATTTAACTGGGAACGGAGAAGTGGCAGCTCTACAATGCCCGCCGGGTGTCACTAACTCTCACTCTGATTAATATCCGAATGGTAAAAGATTTGGACCACCACTTCAACATATATCTTGTATAGGGGGAAAACAGACCCCCCCCCCCAGCCTAGTCCACCCCTGATCCTCTTTTTATCACTAAGGTTTTGGAATCTGACAGCCGAATGACAGGGGCAAGTGTAGGACTTGGTGCCGGGAGGGGGTGAGGCTCAACACTGACCTGATGAGGAAAGTAAGTAGGAGCTGGTGGGGCCAGCTTAAAAGTGAACCCATTTGTTTGCTCTGTATAGGCCAGGGGTAGGCAACCTTGGCTCTCCAGCTGTGCTGAAACCTCAAAACCCATCATGCTTCTGCCTCTGGGAGTCATATGCCTGTGGCTTGCAATGCCTTATGGGATTTGTAGTTTCAGCACAGCTGGAGAGCCGAGGGTTGCCTACCCCAGGTATAGGCAAAGCACAGGTTCATTTTGAATGATGACCCCCCCTCTCCCCCGCCATCACTGCTGTAAATGTCCTTTTATTTTGCAGTACATTATCCAGTAATACAGCCAGATTGAAGCCCTGATGAAGGGACATTTCTTACCCTTGAAATGCATTAGCTTTTTTCCCTGGAGCTCCTGTCACCAGAAATAAAGTACTGGACTTTGATCAGAATATTGCCGATCTCATCCTGCACTATATTCTTCTAGAGCCTTGGTTCTCAACTGGTGGGTCGCTCCTGCCTTCCACTTTTCTAGGTGAGAGGCTCATCGGCCTCCCCCATCACGCAGCACTGTCAGTTCTTACGCTGAGCAGCCATTCAAAATATGCTGCCCGGCGTCAGCTTGAGGTGGGGTGCACGGGGGGTATGGCTGCAAGGGAGCTCCATCCATACATGCATTGCTTATAGCTCCCTCACGTGTCCTGTAGAGGTGCCTGGACTGGCATGACGTCACATTCTGGCTCCCGGCACCTCTACAGGTGCACATGGGAACTGTACAAGCAATGCAGATATGGATGGAGCTCTGTCACAGCACAGCAGCCCACACTGCCTTGCGTTCCATTCCAATGCAACTTGGGTCACGACTTAATGACCGAGGACAAATGTGGGTCTTGAGGTTACACAGGTTGAGAACCGCTGCTCTAGAGGACGCCGGGGCCCCCCCAGGTTACCGCTACTGACAAAGAGCCGCCTTTGTAATTTGGATTTACATAGCTACATAGTTAGTCAGGTTGAAAAAAAAAAAAAGACACAAGTCCATCGAGTTCAACCAGTAACCTATTTCAGGCCCTTTCTTTTCTTCAGGCTCAGCAATTTACCAACACAATGGTAAAACTTGACAGGGGTTCAAGGCCTTCCCTTCTCTATCCATACCTAAAAACGTTGTGGCCATATATATATATCTCACTACTTAATTGTTTAGTGTTATCAATGGCACTTTAGATGGAGTGTTGGGGTTAGAGGTCACCGGAATGCTAATCTGATAGCTGCCTGCTCTAACAGGCTGTCCCCCAGCTCCTGAGAGTGCATAGCAAAGGCCACACTACAACCTCCTCCTCTTCCTCCTCTAATCCGTACCAAGTTGACCAGCCCAGTCCCAACTTTTCTCCACCAGAT